TCACTAACAGTGATGTAAACAAAATTGGAGAGAAATAAGCTTTTTCTGTGTATGGAAAATGTCTGGGATCTTTTATTTCAGCTCATGGGACCAACACTTTACATGTTGCGTTTTATATTTTTGTTCAGTATAATATTTCTGTAACTACTGTGTACTTTCCATTAGGTTCTCATGAACGTACTGTCGGGAGGCAGGGAGGGCTATAGCTAGTTTAATTCCCTCCACTGTGTAATAGCATGTATCCATAGTTAGTAGTACTCAAAACAGCATTAAGAGCCTGGTAATCAGAGGGAACTAATTGCATAAATTAAGCGAGCCACAGACACATTAGGTCATTAGCTGTTTTCAATATGTCCAGTCGCTAACTGTCGTTTTGAGGATGTTGACCGCAATGCAGAAGCCCCATACAGATACAGACAGCTGCTGATAGAAAGAGTGAGGAAGTAAAAATATTTAGAATGTCCACAGGGGGGGCTATAAGGGCAGGGGGGTTACCACGGAGATGTGTTTCTGTCGTCCCCCGCTTCAGTAAAACAATTGAGAAAAAAAGAATGCCCACCATTTGAGAAATGAATTTATCGAAGTCACTGTCTTTTTTCCCCATTAGTAAGTGTTTAGTTCAGCGTTTTTAAATAATTGCGTTACCAGGAATGATATTTAAAATACATTTGGGAGTCAATGAGGCGGGAAAGTGCCTACATGTTTTGCTGATGACACCCGGGCCATTTGGAAGACATCAAAGTAGAGAGGAGGTAGCCCAGATGCATATTATAAACTCATTATGGGTATCATTTAAAAGGATGTACTCCACTCCAGCAGCAGAAAACAATATTCCCAGTCTCTCTCTAGTAATGTGTGTTTGCAAAGTCAAAACTCTTAGACGCCTTCAGTTTAATGTGCCATCTATTACCCCCAAACTGTAACATGAAACAAATGGCATTGATTTCCATATACCAGAATAGTCGTTAAGGTATACATTGTGAATGTGAGTCAATGTTTTCTGATAGAAAATAGAATGAGAATGAAAGGCACTCCAAAATACCATCATGAGTTCTTCCACAAGTACTAGTGCAATTCAGATTAGTATAAATCTATTTTTCTCTCTAAGAACACACAAGCAGGCAGCTATTGTAGAGAACCTAACAAACCACTATAAGCTATAGACAGACAATACTGTAAACAGCCAAACAGACTGACTGGATCAGTCACACCCCAGGCTGCTACAACAATTCAATGCTAATTAAATACACTGCTCAAAAAAATTAAGGGAACACTAAAATAACACATCCTAGATCTGAATGAATGAAATAATCTTATTAAATACTTTTTTCTTTACATAGTTGAATGTGCTGACAACAAAATCACACAAAAATTATCAATGGAAATCAAATGTATCAACCCTTGGAGGTCTGGATTTGGAGTCACCCTCAAAATTAAAGTGGAAAACCACACTACAGGCTTATCCAACTTTTATGTAATGTCCTTAAAACAAGTCAAAATGAGGCTCAGTAGTGTGTGTGGCCTCCACGTGCCTGTATGACCTCCCCACAACGCCTGGGCATGCTCCTGATGAGGTGGCGGATGGTCTCCTGAGGGATCTCCTCCCAGACCTGGACTAAAGCATCCGCCAACTCCTGGACAGTCTGTGGTGCAACGTGGCGTTGGTGGATGGAGCGAGACATGATGTCCCAGATGTGCTCAATTGCATTCAGGTCTGGGTAACGGGCGGGCCAGTCCATAGCATCAATGCCTTTCTCTTGCAGGAACTGCTGACACACTCCAGCCACATGAGGTCTAGCATTGTCTTGCATTAGGAGGAACCCAGGGCCAACCGCACCAGCATATGGTCTCACAAGGGGTCTAAGGATCTCATCTCAGTACCTAATGGCAGTCATGCTACCTCTGGCGAGCACATGGAGGGCTGTGCGGCCCCCCAAAGAAATGCCACCCCACACCATGACTGACCCACTGCCGAACCGGTCATGCTGGAGGATGTTGCAGGCAGCAGAAGTTCTCCACGGCGTCTCCAGACTCTGTCACGTGCTCAGTGTGAACCTGCTTTCATCTGTGAAGAGCACAGGGCGCCAGTGGCGAATTTGCCAATCTTGGTGTTCTCTGGCAAATGCCAAACGTCCTGCACGGTGTTGGGCTGTAAGCACAACCCCCACCTGTGGATGTCGGGCCCTCATACCACCCTCATGGAGTCTGTTTCTGACCGTTTGAGCAGACACGTGCACATTTGTGGCCTGCTGGAGGTCATTCTGCAGGGCTTTGGCAGTGCTCCTCCTGCTCCTCCTTGCACAAAGGCGGAGGTAGCAGTCCTGCTGCTGGGTTGTTGCCCTCCTACGGCCTCCTACGGCCTCCTCCGCGTCTCCTGATGTACTGGCCTGTCTCCTGGTAGCGCCTCCATGCTCTGGACACTACGCTGACAGACACAGCAAACCTTCTTGCCACAGCTCGCAATGATGTGCCATCCTGGATGAGCTGCACTACCTGAGCCACTTGTGTAGGTTGTAGACTCCGTCTCATGCTACCACTAGAGTGAAAGCACCGCCAGCATTCAAAAGTGACCAAAACATCAGCCAGGAAGCATAGGAACTGAGAAGTGGTCTGTGGTCACCACCTGCAAAACCAGTCCTTTATTGGGGGTGTCTTGCTAATTGCCTATAATTTCCACCTGTTGTCTATTCCATTTGCACAACAGCATGTGAAATTTATTGTCAATCAGTGTTGCTTCCTAAGTGGACAGTTTGATTTCACAGAAGTGTGATTGACTTGGAGTTACATTGTGTTGTTTAAGTGTTCCCTTTATTTTTTTGAGCAGTGTATAATTCAAAAATTCCTGTGGTAGTTAAATTATCTTTAGATTTCACTCCACAAAGACACCCCTGCCACTCATATAAACCCATCTTTAGAATTAAAAACCTCAAGGTACAGTAAGTAGCTCTACGTGTTGATGGGCAAGCACAGTGTATTCATCCTTCAAATGAAATGTGTGGCAGATACTCAGTACTACTCACTGGGTAGACTTTAAGAGGCTTAATTGTGTGCTGTCCCTCCACCATCATAACACGACTACCCGTGGGGTTGAGTGAACCAGTGGTGTCCAAGCCACTTGTTCAACCTAATGTTCTTTAAATGTAGAAGCCATGTGGATACAGAGTGTTCATGGCTACAAATACAAATGTTTACAAACCATGCACCAACTATGCCACTATAGAGTTAGTGGTTTTATCTTGTCATTTTGCTTTGGGGTGAATGGAGGATATACAGTGCCTTGCAAAAATATTCATCCCCCTTGGTGTTTTTCATATTTTGTTGCATTACAACCTGTAATTTAAATTGATTTTTTTATTTGGATTTCGTGTAATGGACATACACAAAGTAGTCCAAATTGGTGAAGTGAAATGGAAAAAACTAACTTGTTTCAAAAAATGCTAAAAAATAAATAACGGAAAAGTGGTGCGTGCATATGTATTCACCCCCTTTGCTATGAAGCCCCTAAATAAGATCTGGTGCAACCAATTACCTTCAGAAGTCACATAATTAGTTAGATTGCACACAGGTGGACTTTATTTAAGTGTCACATGATCTCAGTGTGTGTATATATACACTGAGTCTGCAACACCACTAAGCAAGTGGCACCACCAAGCAAGCGACACCATGAAGACCAAAGAGCTCTCCAAACAGGTCAGGGACAATGTTGTGGAGAAGTACAGATCAGGGTTGGGTTACAAAAAAATATCAGAAACTTTGAACATCCCACGGAGCACCATTTAAATCCATTATTAAAAAATGGAAAGAATATGGCACCACAGAAAAACCTGCCGATGTTTTTCATCGGCAGGGACTGGGAAACTGGTCAAAATTGAAGGAATGATGGATGGCGCCAAATACAGGAAAATTCTTGAGGGAACCTGTTTCAGTCTTCCAGAGATTTGAGACTGGCACGGAGGTTCACCTTCCAGCAGGACAATGACCCTAAGCATAGTGCTAAAGCAACACAAGTGGTTTAAGGGGAAACATTTAAATGTCTTGGAATGGCCTAGTCAAAGCCCAGACCTCAATCCAATTGAGAATCTGTGGTATGACTTAAAGATTGCTGTACACCAGCGGAACCCATCCAACATGAAGGAGCTGGAGCAGTTTTGCCTTGAAGAATGGGGAGAAATCCCAGTGGCTAGATGTGCCAAGCTTATAGAGACATACCCCAAGAGACTTGCAGCTGTAATTGCTGCAAATGGTGGCTCTACAAAGTATTGACTTTGGGGGGGGTGAATAGTTATGCACGCTCAAGTTTTCTGTTTTTTTGTCTTATTTCTTGTTTGTTTCACAAGAAAAAAAAATTTGCATCTTCAAAGTGGTAGGCATGTTGTGTAAATCAAATTATACAAACCCCCAAAAAATCCATTTTAATTCCAGGTTGTGAGGCAACAAAATAGGAAAAATGCCACTGTATTCCTGATAAAATACAAACCAGAAGAGTCAATATTTCAATATGAGCTTATTAGTCATATAGTACATGTCAAAATAGTGCCATTTAACCGTTATGTCACCAAAGCTGACATATTATATGTCTGTTGCATGTCACTTGCTGTGACATTACTTATGTCATTAGAATAAACTGTTAGATACAGTATCGCACAGGAGTAAGGTTTTGTGTTTGCAGCGCAGTGGATTCACTACAGTGAACTAGAAGACCTGCTGGTTGCTATGGGGATGAGTTCACCATCCATTGAGTCCCATGGAGAAGAAGGAAGGTACTTTACCATGTGAGTTATATTCACCCTATCTGTTATTGTAGTATGTGGTGTAAGCCCAGCCACTGGGTCAAAACACATGGGGGCTTTCCCCTGCAGCAGGAATACTAGCCAATGAAAATACACGTGATTTTATTATCTCTAAAATCATATATGATATTGTGGCTCAAATCGTAGATGTTTCCAATACCACGCTGATTCAAACAGTTTCTTCTTATGACACAGAATAGCAGTGGCGACATGGTTGACACTTTCGCTGAAGGTTACCAGGGGAGGCAAAGTGGCCATGTGAGGGGGGTGGTAAAAATAGCCCTTCTGCTCATGCTGCAGGGAGGCTCTCTTATAAGATATCAAAACAACTCCACTGAACAGCTGGGAGGCAGAAAGTAGGCACGAGACCATAACATAAAGGGAGAGGGAAGCAGAAAGAGTGGTGACAGAGAGAGACAAACACCAAAACGAGACAGTCTACCAGACCTGAGAAACGACCCTTACTCAGTTTCCTACACACCACAGTCCTATCCTGAGCGAGAAGCAAGCCAGTCATTCATTCATTCAACATGTCGGGAGGAGGCAGTTTCATCTTCACCCCCACGGCCTTGCGTTCCCTCCAGTTGGATGAGGACATGCTGGAGTGACACAAGTACAAGAAGCAGCTGGCCAGCCACCAACTCAACTGTTACATGCTGAAAAAAAGAGGCCAGGGACAGGGTAGGTCCTGCACCTACGTTAGACCCCCAGCTGAATGCTCTCTACTCTGGGGATGGGGACGCTGTGCAACACTTCTTCCTCAGGGACGTCACGTTAAATCTGATCATCGAGCCCCATGGAGGGGACATGCACGGGCTGGCCAGGGGAGAAGGTAAGCAACATGGTCTTATTCAAATATGGCAAAAATATTTACATTGAACCTTATCGTTAACGCACCGAAGCTAATATAAGTTATGTCACATACAGTGACATGTTACTTATATGTCATTATAATGACGAATGTCTGAGGTAATTGCAGAGATTGACATCTGTAATCAGCAGTAATGGAACTGGCATCATGATAATTGGTCTCCATGCTCTAGACTTGAGACAGTGATTGTTGAGGGGTTTTCTTTGTCTCTATCACAATGAATACAAAACCCTTTTGTGTGTGAATTAATTACTAATTTTACAATGGAGTGCATTTGTTCAATAAGTTTTAGGTAATTACATTGTAGTCTGAACATTGCACCAATACCAAAAGCCCATAAGCCATGGATGTAGCCCTTGGCCTTCTTGTATTGATTATAAGCCCATGATCAAATGCAACTAACCATGGCAGTATCAAATTACAATTTATAGGCATTATTTATATACTGAACAAAAATATAAACGCAACATGTAAAGTGTTTAAATAAAAGATATGCACAAAAAGCTTATTTCTCTCAGATTTGGTGCACACATTTGTTTACATCTCTGTTAGTGAGCAAATGGGTGCTGAGGAGTATTTGTCTGTAATAAAGCCCTTTTGTGAGGAAAAACTCATTCTGATTGGCTGGTCCTGGCTCCCGAGTGGCACAGTGGTCTAAGGCACTGCATCGCAGTGCTAGCTGTGCCACTAGAGATCCTGGTTCGAATCCAGGCTCTGTCGTAGCCGGCCGCGACTGGGAGACCCATGGGGCGGCGCACAATTGGCCCAGCGTCGTCCAGGGTAGGGGAGGGAATGGCCGGCAGGGATGTAGCTCAGTTGGTAGAGCATGGCGTTTGCAACGCCAGGGTTGTGGGTTCGATTCCCACGGGGGGTATGAAAAAAAAATAATAATGTATGCACTCACTAAAACTGTAAGTCGCTCTGGATAAGAGCGTCTGCTAAATGACTAAAATGTAAATGTAAAATGTAGGCCTATGCCTTCCCAGGCCCACCCATGGCTGTGCCCCTGCTCAGTCATGTGAAATCCATAGATTAGGGCCTAAGGAATGTATTTCTATTGACTGATTTCCTTACATGAACTGTAACTCAGTAAAATCTTTCAAATTATTACATTTATATTTTTGTTCAGTGTAGATGCAGTCCACCACTTGGTTCAGAAACGTTCCAGCAGGAAGCCAACTTATTAGTTGTGTTAGGTTTTCCATTCAAACACCTGTCTAATGTTATTCTCTTATGGCTAGGTTGTCATTCAAAAACGTGTTCTTGTCTGTAAGCAGTCCAATTGTCCAGTCCAGGGGGTTTGGTAACATAAAAGTGAGTGAGCGTGTTTACATGTGACCAGTGGCGATTTTAGCATGTCAATCTTGGTGGGGCAAACTCCCAAAAAATTTTTTAGATGCATGCCAGCAAAGCCACAACATAACACTAAACAATACATTAATTGCACTATAACGGTGACAAACGGTGCCCACAAACTGTTAGGGCTTACATAAAGCTGACCCAACAGCAGAGCTTTCTTTTCAGTGAATCCTTACCACTGCTTCACCTGGCTATCAGCAGAGCCTTGTCTGGCAGCGAAACAGTTCATTCAGTCTCATGTACTGCCTTTTAAAAAAAACATAGCTGATATGGCTGACTTGCTTAAACAAATGTGGTTTCTACTGTCAATTGAAATGTACAAACTATGGCATAAGGGGAAGACGAGCGGGTAAGAGGCAATCTGTAATTTCGATTTAAGACATGAATGAGTGCGCTAGGACGGACGTAGTCAATAGAACTATTTGTTCAGCACTTTTGAAATGTATAGCGACAGAATTCAGAACATGGGCCGTTCTTAGTGTTGTCCCTGTACACCAAGTCAGAACCGTAGGATAAATAAAGGGCACATAAGCAGACAATGAAAGCTCTTACAATATTCGATGATGACATTTCTCTAAAACAGGCTATAGGCTACATGTGCACCACCAACCGCTAACAGCTTACTACACAACATACACTTAGTATTACTTTCTTGGCTACAGTATAAATCTCCCTGGCATATTATATAATTTATGCAGCAGCATACAGTACGTTTGGACTCACGTTGTGCTGTGCTCACTTGAACAGGAAGGTGGGGCGGCGGTTCTTCATGGGCAAATTTTGTCATCAAACTTTCATCAAAGTCTGGATTTATGATGCTTTCAAGACAACTGGGAACTCTGGAAAAAAACAATTCGAATCATGATACGTCAGTGATCTTCAGGTCGGAGCTCTAGAAAGAGGCCAGAGTTCCCAACTTGCAATTCAGAGTTGGATGACTGTTCAAAACGTATTTTCCCAGTCTGAGCTTATTTCTTTCCGAGTTTCCAGTTGTCTTGAACTCACTGAAGTCTGAGATTTCCGAGTTTCCAGTTGTTTTGAGCGAGGCAGAAGTCATGCTGGATTGACAGCATGGCCAATGTTGAATGTTTATCCTTTTAAGCTTGGAAAAGAGACCTTTAAACCCAGACTTAGGACCACACACCCACTCCACTGAATAGCAGGCTAGTGATTTGCTTTGCAATGCTTGCAGTTAGCCTCTGATTTCTTCCAAACCACTCATTGTTGAATTTGCGATTTCCAACTTGTTGTGTATTGTTTATGTCCAATGGCCAATGAGCACCGACACGTTTTATCTATAATTTCTCTTCATTATTTCTCTTCATATGACAAGGATTGAAAAGGATTTGCCAGTATATTGATGACTTGATTCATGATGACTGCTAGCTTGCTAGTTAATATTTTGAAAGTATGATGTTGACATGATCAGTCCAATCAAAGCTACTGTAGATATGTGATTTGATGTCATTTTATCTGTGGCCAATGACCTTGAGCCTTCTTGGATGGGCACTTCTAATGTAACTCTATGGCAGCACCCAAGGGGCTTGAATTTTCGAGCTCTACCCTTACATTTTGCAGTGATGTAGTGTCCCCATGAGTGACAGGACACTGAGCCAATCACGGCGCAACTAGAGAACATTACCAACCCCTACGCTCCTTATTTTCTGCTGGCTGCCCCACCACCACAGAAAGCACTGAGCTAGGCTAAAACACAACACAACACCTACATTTTGGATCTGCCTTACTCAAGAAAGCAAAAAAGAAACCACGTTTGTATGCGGCATTATTAACTCAATGATTTATTTATTTTTTTACATTGTTTGAAAACTGAAATGTGCCAAAATAACATGCAAAACCGGTGGGGCTCAAAACCAGTGCGGCAGAGCCTGAATGACGGGTCGCCACTGCATGTGACACAGAAGTAATTTTGCTGCTGCGCCAGGCTTTTCTGGGCCATACAAAATATGACATAACGTTACCGTTGTGCCTCCCTGAAATAGCATCCTGTGGACAAACAGGCTTCAGAACAGCACAGCATTTACCTCAGGAGAAAGAAACCGCCATTACTCGAACATGGAAACAACAAACAAAACCCAAAACTAACAAGTCGGTTGTTACTCTTCTTACAACTTGAGAGACTGCAACGATGTGATCGCCACAGCCCAGGCTACAGGTTATCCAGTTAAATCTAATCCAAAATGTAATCTACGTAATCCCCAAAAGTAATTATTTATCACGAGAGGGCCATAAACAATAACTAGTAATGCTACATACTCAAAGGTTGAAATCTCTCCTTTCTGGTAACATTTTTTATAAATTGCTGAGGTGTAGTTACTTTTGAGGACACAAGCTCAAGTGCACAGTACATGATAAAATATTTCATATTTTTATTATATTTGTATTTCTTATTCAACAAAACTGTATGAATAAGGCTTGAAATGACTTGTGCTTTCTAAATATAGCATAATGAAATTATAAAATGACAAACTATACGATTTCACTTTCCTTATAACTGTGAAATACATATTTGCATGTTTAGTGTTAGAACGTTTGCATATTTTCTAAAGGTGTCTCTTGATCAAAACGTTTGACTCCATGGCTGTGAATGTCTCACAGAGCTCTAGTTTGCCTTCCTGAACTCGTTAGGAACTCTCCTTCCATCTCATATTAATATTGTCCGTCTATGACAAAGAAGTGTTTATTGTTTAACATCTATGAATTATTTTAGATGAATGGCTATAAATCGATCTCTGAATGTGCTACCTTAATCAAACCACTCTCCTGCTGCGCTACTATGTAACGATTGCAGGCGTGAGCTTTGTCCACGGCTGTGATGTAGAGTTAAGTCAAGAGTTGGACAGTCGGAAGAGCGAATGAAATGGTAGGAGGGACATCCCCGCTTCAAATCGTTTCAGATTTAACATCCAAAGGCTTAAAAAAAAACAATACTACTGTGTCAGTGGCAACCAGGGCTATCGCTCAATGCAAGCCATTTCGATCTAAGGTATCCACGGGTCGATTTATAAGCGAAAATGTCGGTCGGAACCGATATCTGAGGTTATGTTCTGTAACTGTCTGCTTGTGGGGGTAGCGGATTAAACTCAACTCCACGATTTACGATGGAGTTGTGTGGGCGGACTGGCGCTCCGACGTTACATTTAAATTACGTTTTTATAAAAAACTACTGACATTGTTCTGTGTAATTGCGGGCTATACTTTGGAGTTTAGTACGATACTTGTGGGAAATGACCTGACCCTTATTAGCATCATAGACGAGCCAGAGTGTGTACTAAACCAGGAACATCCAGGAGTGGAATAACTTCAGGCACCATTATAGAACCCTGAGTAGGTTGATGCCTTTGTTTGAAATGACCTGTTCACAGGGGTCATGTTCATTTAGTCACCAAAAGGAACAAAACAGACAAACAGAAAGGGTCTCCCTGGACTTTTCCAATAAACGTTTGTTTTCCTTTTCCATTACAATACGTTTTTAAAACATTTTCAGTTGCATGCCCTAATAGACACGACCCTGTTGCTTCCCTGCCGGACTGTGGTCTCTGACCTATGAGCAGCAGCTGACCACCCTGCTCCACATAACAGCAGGCCGATCTTCGTTGACTGCCTGAGGAACCTGCTTCAGCATGGGGCCAACGTAGACCTGGCTCCCGGGGTCACCACTGCCCTCCACAAGGCCTGCCAGAACTGCCAGACCCAGTGTGTAAAGCTGCTGCTGTCGTCCCATGGCGCCAACTCAAACACTGTCAGTGAAGACTGGCCCGTGCCCCTGCACGTGTGCACCAGTCCTGAGCCCCTAGAGTGAGTACAGTACCAACCAATATTATTGCTCTGAGACTTGGCAGTAGACTCCACCATAGGAAGGTTAGGGTTGAACCGTGATGTGGAGATGAAGTTAGGGTTGTGGTTGTGATTGAGGCTAGGGTTAGGGATGAACTGGGATGTGGACACGAAGCGAGGGTTAGGAAACCAGAATTGCAGGACATTCTATTTCCCTTTGGCCCCCCTCTAATTGGATCAACAGGTGTGCCAAACACTTGCTCCAGTTTGGCGCTGCGATCAACGGGCAGAGCCTCGATGAGGACGACACACCATTACACACGGCGGCAAGGAACGGGCTCCTGGGTCACATAGAGCTGTACCTGCGCTACAGCGCCGCTGTGGAGATGCAAAATGAAGATTGTCTCATGCCGCTCAACGCCGCCTGCTCACAACCACAGGAGAAGGACGATCTGGAACACTACACCAAGGTGTGTGTGATCTACTTCATTCATTATTGTGTTTGTTTATCATTTGGAGTTAATAACCCTCAGTATAACTTGGTTTGGCTCTGCTTGGTTCGGCTTATTAGTGTGAAAAGTCCCTTGTGTTTCCTGTCCTCCAGGTGTGTGAGCTGCTGCTGGGGGCGGGCGCCGACGCCACAACAGGGGACTAGGACAAACCATCTCCGATCCAAATGGCCTGTAAGAACATCAACCCAGACGTGGTGGATCTTCTCCTGGCCCTCGGAGCCTGCGTCAACACCATGCACAACGTCTTCAAGGTGTTTTATTTCATTTTATTTATGACATATAAAAACATAATTCAGCCACACGTGGATAGATTGCATTTAAAATACTGTAATTGAAGATAACACAAATGTTTTACAACATATTTCGATTGTGGTCCTCTGAAGGTGGTGTCCTACAAGACGGAGCACAAGCCAGAGAGGGTGGTCCACTCTCTGCTCAACCACAGCTCCATCAGGGTGTGGCGTGGAGCACTGCCCGATGTAAGAGCCAGAAGCGGCCCCTGCTATAAGCGGAATAAGCAACTGCTTAGGGCCTATTCACAATCTTCTCTGATTAATTATATGAATATTATCTAGTTAAGAGCACATGCGCTAGAGAAGGAATAGTGTTTGATGGTAGGACTAGGAGTAAAACATTTGTAAAGAACCTGGCAATACATCTTGAACATATACTGTATTGTGTAATCTTGCTGTGCATTCAATCAGTCATTCACGTGTTCATAATAGTGTAGACATTTATGCAGAAATCACCTAACGTTAAACAGATTGGTTCATGTTTCATAAAAGTGTAATTAAATCAAATCATCAGCGTGTAATTGTTCTTGATGTACCCGATGATATAACTGTAACAGAATGTACAGTGGAGAATAAACAGATGAAGTAGCATGAACACTAAAACAGTTCAATTAATAATTTATTTCTCTCCTCAACATGAAACGGAAACTACTACTATTCACTGAACCAAACCTAGGTTCAAATGCTATTTGAAAGAAATCATTTTAATATTTTAGCTGTGCTTGATTGTGCTCGCCTGTTCCAATGGAACCAATAGAAAAGACCTGTGCTAACCCTGCCCACCTGGCACTCCAGGCAGGCTAAAGTATTTGAAACATTTCAAATATTAATTGAACCCAGGTCTGCTACTATTCACTGAACCTACCACATGCTCCGGAACAAAATGCCTGACTCCTAATTAAGGAGTGTTAATAGGAGATTAATTAGCACTAATTGCATAATTTCCAGTTAAACCTCCAGAGGGTAGACCAATCTGTTCATCTCACCAAGTGTTTAATTACTTTAGTTTATTTCTTCTATTCTATTGATGAGTCACAAGTCACGTCCTCACTTCATGTTGGAGTTAGGAGGTTATCTTCTGACTTGTTTCTTAGGAGATCAGAAAAAAGATAATTGGATCAAATTTAGGAAAATGCATGCAGGCAGTATGTGTTATTTACATTGTGCCCTTTGCAGTTATAAAATGTGGGAATATTTGCATTTGGACTGATAAGGTTTTAAAAAATAAGTTAGGCTAGAAGAATTGTAGGCTATAGTTTCATTCGTCAACACGACCAGATACAGTGGCTTGCGAAAGTATTCACCCCCTTGGCATTTTTCCTATTTTGTTGCCTTACAACCTGGAATTAAAATGGAACTATTCACCCCCCCCCATAGTCAATACTTTGTAGAGCCACCTTTTGCAGCAATTACAGCTGCAAGTCTCTTGGGGTATGTCTCTATAAGCTTGGCACATCTAGCCACTGGGGTTTTTGCCCATTCTTCAAGGCAAAACTGCTCCAGCTCCTTCAAGTTGGATGGGTTCCGCTGGTGTACAGCAATCTTTAAGTCATACCACAGATTCTCAATTGGATTGAGGTCTGGACTTTGACTAGGCCATTCCAAGATATTTAAATGTTTCCCCTTAAATCACTTGAGTGTTGCTTTAGCACTATGCTTTAGGGTCATTGTCCTGCTGGAAGGTGAACCTCTGTCCCAGTCTCAAATCTCTGGAAGACTGAAACAGGTTTCCCTCAAGAATTTCCCTTTATTTAGCCCCATCCATCATTCCTTCAATTCTGACCAGTTTCCCAGTCCCTGCCGATGGAAAAACATCCCCTCAACATAATGCTTCCACCACCATGCTTCCAACACCATGGATGGTGTTCTCGGGGTGATGAGAGGTGTTGGGTTTGCGCCAGACATAGCGTTTTCCTTGATGGCCATAAAGCTCAATTTTAGTCTCATCTGACCAGAGTACCTTCTTCCATATGTTTGGGGAGTCTCCCACATGCCTTTTGGCGAACACCAAACGTGTTTGCTTATTTTTTTCTTTACGCAATGGCTTTTTTCTGGCCACTCTTCCATAAAGCCCAGCTCTTTGGAGTGTACGGCTTAAAGTGGTCCTATGGACAGATACTCCAATCTCCGCTGTGGAGCTTTGCAGCTCCTTCAGGGTTATCTTTGGTGTCTGTTGCCTCTCTGATTAATGCCCTCCTTGCCTGTTCCGTGAGTTTTGGTGGGCGGCCCTCTCTTGGCAGGTTTGTTGTGGTGCCATATTCTTTCAATTCTTTAATAATGGATTAAATGGTGCTCTGTGGGATGTTCAAAGTTTCTGGTATTTTTTTATAACCCAACCCTGATCTGTACTTCTCCACAACTTTGTCCCTGACCTGTTTGGAGAGCTCCTTGGTCTTCATGGTGCTGCTTGCTTAGTGGTGTTGCAGACTCTGGGGCCTTTCAGAACAGGTGTGTGTATATATACTGAGATCATGTGACAGATCATGTGACACTTAGATTGCACACAGGTGGACTTTATTTAACTAATTATGTGACTTCTGAAGGTAATTGGTTGCACCAGATCTTATTTAGGGGCTTCATAGCAAAGGGGGTGAATAAATATGCACCTTTCCGTTTTTATTTTTTTTTAAGAAGTTTTTTTTTTCATTTCACTTCATTAATTTGGACTTTTGTGTATGTCCATTACATGAAATCCAAATAAAAATCAATTTAAATTACAGGTTGTAATGCAACAAAATAGGAAAAACGCCAAGGGGGATGAATACTTTTGCAAGGCACTGTATCTATAAACATGTGTTTTTTAGTTTTAAGTAATGTGGTATTCATTATGCAATGATGTATCTTTCAAGTTCTGAAGTACTGCTGTCTCCTCGCGCACGATCAAGGTTTTTCTGAATGCATATGACCGCCTCAAAATTACAGATGACTGGGTGGAGGCTGTTTCACCAGAGATGTTTAAGGTCAGTTCCTAGAATCATAGTGATTCCATTCTATTCCGTTCTGTTCTATTCTGTTCTGATAGAGTATGACTGTCTAACTGACTGTTCTGTGTGTATCTCTCTCCAGGTACACAATGGGTTCTATAAGTCCTTGTTCTCCCTGCAGCCGACCCCTCATTCCCTACAGCACCTGGCTCGCTGGACGCTGCAGAACTACCTGGATGGACGCGTGCACAAGGTGGTGCCATACCTAGACCTGCCCACCTTCATCAAGAACAACCTGCTGCTGGAGTTTAGAGACTACGTTCATTGAGTCAGAGATGGCGCCAGGATGTATATAAGCCCTAAACACAGGATATATGGTGATACATGGTATTTTATGATGAGAGCTCCCAGCACTATAGAGCTCTGTGTGTACTGTAGGCTACAGAACAAACACTGGGAAATACTAGGAATTCAGTCTGTCTGTGACAATATTTGTTTTGCAGAGTTACACAGGAGAATCATTGTCATAGACTGTGGTACTAAGTAGACTATACCGCTCCTGGATCCAGAATCCTTGAGATTGCAGAGTGTGAGTAAATGGATACCATTATGTACTGTACAATATATGACAAACGTCATGTTTATATCTGCCATCATTTCTGTCTTTACAATTGATTGTATTCATTGTATTGCTATTTTGGTTCATAATTAAAAATGTTATTTGCTTTACAAGCAGAACCGTGTTACTCCGAGTCACCACAAGGGGGTGTTGTGGTCTTTAAATGACAAATTAATGAGATGTATTGTATTAGAGGGCTGGCTTTGTGTTTTTGTCTGTTATTTTTCAAAGGTGTAACTTTAGTATTTATAGTGCTATCATTATAGTGCTATCAATTGAAATGTACGTGCGTAATGTAGTCTAAAATAAAGGAGTAAAGGAAATAGATTTACATATTTTCATATTTAGCTTTTCCCCCCAAAGTAGTCGTGACTTCAGGGAGAAATAAATGACTATTATTTGGCTTAGCACCTTGTCATATATGGTAAGATTGTGAGATCAGTCAGTATATGAATCATTTTTTGTGCACTGCTTTATCACAAAAAATGAACCAATTATGGATGTAGCGATAGCCTAGTAAGTATTTGGTAGACAAATAATTACTACTTTTTCGAAGTGAACAAGAGTGTGCTGTATAACTCAGTCCCTCTTTTTCAGAATATTTCTCATTAAACTAAATTATTACATTTAAAGCAACCACTTATATCCAGCTATTTACAGGAGTAATTAGGGTTAAAGTGCCTTGCTCAAGTCGGCTCGGGGATTCGAACCATCGACTTTTTGGTTACTGGCCCCACGCTCTTAACTGCTAGGTTACCTGCCGCCCCAGATTAGAACGTTATGTGATATCACTGGCTTTGCGGAAGTGAAGTCATTTTGAAATAAACATTAACTGAAAAATTAATTCATAAAGACTTTATGAGATTAAATATGAGAGACTGTCATGCAAAGGCTCTGTGGTTATCTTATATTACAAAAAGTGTCAGTCAAATACAACACGTCAGTGATGGACGTAAGTCATGAATAGACTATTGACTAAGCAGTGAGCTTTTATGTGTAAGTTGCCAAGAAGGTTTATCGATGCTTTTGAATCTAGCAAATAGTGGGATCGACAACAATTGAATGGATAACAAACGAAAATATATATATTTTAAACATTGACCAAACATAATGCAATATGTAGCCTAGTAGTTCTACAATATTTGTAATTTAACAGAAATGTCGTTGTAAAACCACTTAGGTGACTTGGGCGTTTCCAGTTGATAATTATGTGGAGAGGTCCAGATGTATGATTATATGGGATCGGAAAGAAGTAGCATGCTTTTGAATACCAACCACCCGGCTTGGGGAGAATGGTGAACCTGTGTGACAGAGGGTGGTGACACGGAGACAATATGCTGACTTGGGTAATGAACCTGTCACAGTGAGGCTCTTGAACTAGGCTACGCTATGTGCCTAGCGCATGAGGAGCTAAAGCCATATCAAAGAAACTAAACTTGCAATGAAAAATAATATGATTGTAAAATTAAAAAATCTATTAGCAATATGTTACATAGCAATATGTTACAACTTGAATAAAAATGGTAATAATGTAGGTTAATATTAAGGCTCCAAGGAAAGTCGTTCATCCCGTTAGTGACATATACCAGTAGCAACTAATAATAATAATTTCTGATAATTAGGTGACAATTGTAATGTAACTGATCAAATAAACTATAGATTCCTGACTCATAAAAGAAAACAAGAATAAATCCAATCCTAGACATAAATGCAGAAAGTATCACACATCTGAGAGAAAAGTTGAGGAGGTATGAGGAGGTTCTGATTGTAGACTATTCAATCAGAACTGAGTCCACTCCACTCTAAAAAAAAAAAAAAGGAGAGGAGAGGAGCGCGCGGGAGAGGAAAGCTATCTGGTTTCAATAGTTCAAAGCGTGGTGGTGCTGAATGGAGTCATTTGCAATTATAAGAATAATTAGCATCCCTTGGCACTCCATTGCTAATCAGACTCGGTTGGTGATATGTTTATGTCTTCATGCAATCAGACGGACAGTTGGAGTGCCCGCGCGCCCCCAGGACTCAATAGGGGCTAATCATCATCAAGAATTGGCATATAAACGGTAAAATGATATCCGATTAAATCAACACTTGATTTTTCATCATTCCACATTTTTATTTTAATATAAACTTATAAGCATATAGAAAATGGGTGGCCAAAATCCTGAAAGCGTCGATGCGTTTTTTAACTATTCAACATTTAATTGGCAATTAGTTTAGGATGCATGCTCATTACATTTTACATTTTAGTCATTTAGCAGACGCTCTTATCCAGAGCGACTTAAAGTTAGTGCATTCATCTTAAGATAGCTAGGAGGGACAACCACATATCACAGTCATAGTAAGTACATTTTCCCGCAATAAAGTAGCTATCAGCAAAGTCAGAGCTAGTAAGGGGGGAGTCAAGTGCGAGTGTTGTTCACGAGTCAAGTGCGAGTGTTAGTTTTATGTTAGGTCTATCTTAAAAATGCAACATTATTTCGTCTACATAGAACACTAACTTAATGGTATGCCTACAGACACCAGCACGTTAGTACCCTATTGTATTTTGAATCGAATAAAGTTTAGTCTCCAAAATGCCACTATTCAAAACTGCGCAGACTCGTTTTAAAAATTATCGTTGACCTCACATGTCTTTTATCCGAATCAAATGTTGTACAGGATAACTCACTCCAGGGAATAATTGTTACCGCACTTTTCTAAGGCCAAACGCATTGTTTTAGCCCGAGAGAATAGAAAAGCTTTACTCTTTCAAGAGAGGAAAAACATCTGCCTCTCCTCCCGGCCCACTCCGATGCCATCCGTCCCAACATTTCAACAAAAGCACCGTTGTTTTATGTCATCCCTTGAATCCAAAGTAATTACTTATCATCAATCAAAATTAATAATAGCTGATTGGGTTGGTGTGGTCAACGATTATAGAAGGGTAAGGGCTGAAGCAGTCTCTCACATCGCTTCCAGTCAATGTGGACGGGGAAAAGGGGGTGGAGGGCTAGAGTGGGGGGTGGCGACCCGTCTATTCCGTATACACTGGGAAACTACCGCCTCTCAAGGCGGCCAAAAAGTCCGAAGCTGAATTAGGAAATGAAGCGTAATTTGAGGAAGATGGATGAGTCCCCAGGGTTACACCCCCTTTCATTCCTCTTCCATTGCAGATGATAAGCTAGGGCTCTCTCTCTCTCTGTGTGTGTGTGTGTGCGCGCGCGCGCGCGTGCGTGTGTGTGGGAGAGAGAGAGCTCATTGAATTGAAGTGGAGGGAGGGAGGTAGAGGGGAAGAGCGTGTGTTTATGTCTCAGTGTGTGACAAATAGAGGGACAGGGAGTGAGCACAAAACAAGAAAGCGTCAGGTCGCAGTAAGCTTGAGGAGGTTTCGAGGAGCTGGTTAGTCCACGGGATAATATCACAGCGAAAGGACATAATAACTTCACTCGACCGTTTAATCTAAGGTTTGGCGATTTGTTGAGAGGAAAGGAAGGGGCGCCTGAGTTTTCGAAAAAAAATAAGTCACCATTTTCTTCACAATGCAGAGACCCGGCGGCCAAGGGACGGCGTTTTCGATCGACTCCTTGATAGGAACTCCGCAGCCTCGGCCGGGACACCTGCTCTACACTGGCTACCCGATGTTTATGCCGTACAGACCCTTGATGATTCCTCAATCTTTATCTCATTCACATTTACCGTCTGGCATACCTCCTTTGGCGCCGTTGGCATCTTTCGCTGGACGTCTTACCAACACATTCTGTGCGAGTTTGGGACAGGGGATGCCGTCCATGGTGGCTCTCACGACAACACTGCCGAGTTTCTCGGATCCGCCAGATAGTTTCTATCCACCCCAAGAGCTCCCCGGACCTCGGTTAAGTGCCGACCCTGGAACGAGGAGACAAGAGAGTCCCCACTCAGATGATCTGCATGGAAGGGACAAGGGGTCGGACTTACTCAACTTCTCGGAAACTTTTCAAACTATACCAGGTAAGTTCCATGCCTCAGTCCTAGTGTCCACACGCTTCCGTTAGATTGGCACGTTGAGACCTAAATGCGTAAAACGCGCAAACGCTATCCAAATTAGAGTTTGGACTGGACTGCTTAGACATTTAGCTAAAAAATACACTTCTGAGTGCTGAGCATAAAGTTACACGCAGTTTATCCAAGGCAAATATGATGCTGAAATTTAAGACACCATCCACACTTTTTAGAAGGCTGAAATTGTCATCATAAAATACTATTCCACAAATACATTGTTTCATGACAATTTCAAATGTGCAATAAGTCGAATTGATTAGCCTAACTCAAGATTGTGAAACACTATCTTCACTCTATTTGTTACATTAGGTATAATTTTATTCAACACATTATTTTACTTAACGTGACATTGGTCACGTTAATATAGGTGTTATGAATGGCACTATAGGCCTACTCATTTCCTTTGACGAAGATACAGCAGAATACGAACTCTCCAACAGGCCTATTCCATTTTTTAGAGGCCTATGTGGTCAAGACAATGTCTCTGAATTTCTAAAGAGATAAATGGCTAATTTGCATTTGTGAGGTAAACTTATAGGCTAAAAATAATTGGTTGTAATATGTTTTATATCTTCATTGTGACTTTTTAGGTGAGACTAAATTGTACAGCTCTGACGATGAGAAGTTTGACCTGAAATCAGCAGACGCAGCTTGCAGTGACAGAGAGGACAGCTCTGCCGTCGACAGCGAGAACGAAAGCTTCTCTGATGGGAACAACTGTGGTTCTTTATCCCAAAAGAGTAAACTAAAAACCGGGTCACAGGAAGCGTTACCACCAGGAAGCTCAGCAGGAAAGAGCAGAAGGAGACGAACAGCTTTTACCAGCGAGCAGCTTCTTGAACTTGAGAAGGAATTTCATTGTAAAAAGTACCTTTCGCTGACCGAACGCTCTCAAATAGCACACGCACTTAAATTGAGCGAAGTGCAGGTCAAGATTTGGTTCCAGAATCGTAGGGCCAAATGGAAAAGAATCAAGGCGGGAAACGTCAATAACAGGTCGGGAGAGCCTGTGAGAAACCCCAAAATTGTGGTCCCCATTCCAGTGCACGTCAACAGGTTTGCGGTGAGGAGTCAACACCAACAGATAGAGCAAACAAGGCCATGATGCACTATCCTGGCCTAAACTTTAAAAAAGAAACGGACATTAATTCTGACAAAAGAAAGTTCTGGTTGTTAAATGCATGAAGCACCAAAGGGGATGGCATTTTTTGGTCAGCAAGATTACTTTTTACATCACAAGAGACAATGTCCTATCAACTTGACAACATAGGATATTATGTTATCGCTTGGCAGATTAATTTGTCAAATATGATCTCATGTTTTATTTATTGTTTTGTAAATTTGTAAATATTATATGTGTCGGGGTGACACAGACAGCCACTATGAAATAAGATTGTAAAACATATTTTCTAAAATATTTATATCTAGGGCCTATAAATGTTCTGTTTATTATCTGCATGTGCTTCATTCGGTGAAGCTATTTCTAACTTGTCGTATTTGGTATCGTTTCGTTGATCACATTTTGCATGTACCTTACAAAGTTTTCATTTTTGGTAGGCTACTGTAGGAACTGTATTCGCCAGCTGTTTGTGAAAGAAAAAAGTTGTAAAGAAAAATAAATGACCAAACAAGGAAATACTGTAAAGTATATTGACTTAATAAATCAATTTATATTAAAGTTATGTATCTAAATGCATTATTATTGCTGGTTTAGCTATAGTTTTAGAGATGGTGATTTGTGCTTAATATATAGCCTCTGTCTGCGCTCAGAAATTTAACAGGGATCTCTCTTTCTATAGAATATATTTTCCTCGCATTCATGAAATAAAAATACCACTAGGCTATTACATGACACTGTATTTTAATAGCCTACTAAAACGTTAAGAGAACTATAACAATAAACAAATAATACAACAATTAGGAATACTACAATTCATAATTGATTATAATACGCATAATCATAATAGTTATGGCAATTCCAATTTATTATCTCAATCTCAAAAGTGTTTTTGCTTTGTAAAATAGGCATTACTAATCATATTATTATATTATTCAGATAGTAAGTAAATAAAAAGTCTGTATTGTATACCTATGTAATGTCTAGCATGAATATGAATACATTTTTGCACACTGTAAGCCTGGATGAGTTTGCAATGTAATGATACTGTAGGCCTATATTGTAGGTCTTGGAAAAATACAAACGTATCTATCGTGAGAGAGGATTAGCTACATAATTGAACGACTGATACTAATGAATACTAAATCATATTCCACTTCAACTACTGTATGCAAAGTCCAGTAGTTATCCCTATCTAGGCGTTGATGATAGCTACATTCAATGAAGGTTCTCATTAAGCAGACAGAAAATAAAGGGAGAGAACAGACGAGGGTTCTGTGACTGGAAGCAGCAGACATCTGTCTCTCTTTAGGGGGCCATGTTGTCTCAAGGTGGAGTGATGGATCCCCATTAGAACGGTCAAAACATCAATCCCTGTAGGAGTTGAGGAGACCAGCCCAGGGAGGGTGAACACTGAGCAGTGTGTGTGTGTTTTATTTATATCAGCAAGTTGCAATTTCATTTGGTCGCTACAGATGCATGTTAAACGTATTTTGATGTGGATGTAATTCATTTGGTATCCGAGTATAGGTCAATTTCCATCCATTTCAAACCTAAGATCAAGTCATAAAAGGAACAAATAGAATGCGAAAAAAGATAGCAAATATTTGTTACGGGTGCACCTGTAAAAACAGTTTATTTTAGGCTATATATAGGCTAGTTTTGTCATTAAAGTATTTACAGGTGCCCAAAACGGTATAAAAGATTTCCTCCCAGATGTTATTTCAGCAGATGTTATCTCAGGTTGGCCTACTCCCTGTTTGAATAACTGATCCACACATGCCGACGAAATTATCATGCGCGACATTTGAGTAAATAAATTAAACTAATTAGCGACACCTGCTTTTGCATTACGCTGTCATGTTAAAGTCAACTCAATTATGACGATAAAGATTAGGTATAACGGAAATAAGTTAATAGATAAGATGACAATATTTAAACGAAATACAATACATTAGCCTACTGTGAATTAAAAACAATTGCTTTGCCTAATTAATTTCCGACTTCAAATAGGGAATGCCAGAGCTGACAGTTGTGGTTCGAGGGTGAATGATTTTAGAGTCTCGACCTCCGATGACGCCAGAATGTTTGGTGTGTGTTCTCGTGCTTAGGTGCTAATGGAGGGAACAGAACAGAATTGGCGTGGGGATGCATGGACACACCCAAGACGTTACAGTGAGCTAAGCCTATTCAAACACTATTCAAACAAAGTTGATGTCATCATGCATCATGCATTGTCATATGACAAAAATATAATTTACTTTACAAATCACTCCTTGAAATGTTATGTGGCACTTAAGGACACAAAAACAAAACCCTATAGGTGTATTGTTAAAATGGGGCACGATTTGTACCCAGCTAGCACATTTGGTTCCTTGGCAGTTGTGGGAACTTATGTTTTTGATTTCTCATTGGATCTGGGAAACAAAGCCATAATTGTCCTGACCAGTAAAACTGAACATTTTTTAAACATTCTGAGAATGGAAGTGAACATTTTGCCTGTTCTGGGAAGGTATATTTTTAGGTTGCAGGGAGGTTCCGAGAACGTTTTACTATGGTTCCCTGAAAGTTTTCCTGGGCGGTCTTATTAACGTTCTGAGAACATACATTTTTGAAGATAATGAAAGAACATTCTGAGAACATGTTTCAATAAGACTTTTAATAACACTGCTAGTTTAATTAACTGTGTTGAACTCCAAGCACAGATTGGACACATGGAAATTAATTTGCTTAGGCATTAGTCATGCAAACAATTTTTTTTAATTGTGGCATGGCATCAGTGAGATTCCAACCTTTGATCTTATTTTCTCTATCTATGGAATTAGTCCACTGCTCCACCAGGATGGAGCTAGCATGCCATGTTTTTTTTAAAACTCATACAAAGTTGTTCATTTTAATCTTCTTCTTCAATGAGGTTTAACGGCGGTTGGCATCCAATTTGTTGCATTACCGCCACTTACTAGACTGGAGTACAACTCCCTTTTCTTTTCCTTGAAAAATAAAATAAAACAAAGCAAAGAAATACCCTTCCAATCTACCCTACACTCACAAATTCAAAACTATTACAAATAATTAACCCCACACTTCTCCACTATTTAAATATATTCATTCCTACCTCTTGCCCTCAACCTGAAATGATGGGACATCACCACTTAACACTCCCTGTAACTCTTCTGCTGTCAAGCCTCGCACACCCAAATATCTCTCTGCAGCTGCCACCACAACCTCAATTTTCTTCGACTTACGTTCCATCCCTGCAGTACAATTAATAACCATTGCTATAAACGCTAAAAATCCAATCTTACTGAAACATATATCACTTGCTTGCCTATCCCACTCTCACCACTCCCCCCCTCTTCTCTACTCTTACCCTGGAAACCTCAACCTGCTTCTCTCACACTGGACATGTCTGATCCCCAGCCCCATGGCCACCCCTACAATTAGCACATACCACCACTTTCCCCACTGCTCATGCCCTTCTGCACACTTCTCACACCTTGGAATCTCCCTCCTACATACTGCTGCCACATGCCCATAAGTTTGACACCTGTAACATCGTAATGTACTCAGCACATAAGCTCGCACAGGATAACTTAAATATCCTAATTTCACTTTGTCAGGCAAAGACTCAACTTCAAAACTCAAAAGAACAGACAATGACTCTTCTGTTTCCCCACTCTCGCCCCCCTGTTTGCGTCACACCAAACGACGAGCATCACACACACCGGGAATCTTCTCCTTCAGTTGATCCACTTTTACATTTACTGCTACCCCAGTAATCACTCCTTTCAATGGCACCCTTTTCTTGAGAGCGAAACAATTCACAATTATTTCCCCCAACTCTGAGCGCCTTCTCCCTCTGCCCAACAGAAACACAAACAATTATCACTAGCCCACTTCTAGTTACCCTCACCGATTCCATTATACCCAACACTTTTTTTCACCCATCTTGAAACCACAAATGGATCAGCCAAAAGGCAAGGATCCACTTTTTCCACAAACTTCACTCCTACTGTCACAGACTCATCTTTATCCTGACCCTCTGTGCAAGCCTCTGGCTCCGAGCACTTCACCACACCTACCACCTCCGATACTTCACCCTCATTCACTTCCATTTCTCCTCCTGTCTTCAGCTCACTTTGCTTACATTTCTTACCACTCTTCTTTAACAAACCTTCTCCCTTTTTCCCGCCATTTTTCCCCGACTCAAACTCACAGTCTTCCTCCCTCTCTCTCTTAGACCTCCTCTGCCTCTCTTTTTCCATTCCTCCTCATTCATCCAAGTATACGTCTCCTTATGATAATACTGCATTTCTCCTAACCACCATCGGTTTCTTGCCTTCTCAAAGGACTCCATTTTCCCCCTTTCCCTTCCGGCGTCTATTCTATCCTCTGGACTTGTGTCGACATCTTGGCCTGTGTCTTCCATCGCCCCTTCCATGTGCGCATACGCCGATTTCAAAACCCAGGAAAGTCTAAAATCCTTCATTTTAGTCTATTCAAACATAACCCATTTCAAAGAAAACAAGCTCTCATTAAGATCAGGTGTGGCCAATTAGTGGGCGTGACCAACACACCTGCGCACACTTAACAAGGTAGAGTTTTGTTGCCGCTGAGAAAGGAATGTATATGTTTTTAAATAAAATTCTTAGAAAGTGCTTTAAACGTTACTAATGTTTTCTTGTGGTTTTTACGGAAAATTTTCTTAATGTTCTGAGAACATTACTTTAAATAGATCAATGAGGAAACCTGAAGAAAATGTTATGCTGAAGTATTGAAATTCCCACAGAAGAACATTGTTTCTTAACATTCTCTGAAAGTTCTGAGAACATGCCTTTAAATAGAACCATCAGGAAACCTGTAGGAAACATTATGCTGAAGTACTGAAATTCCCACCTAAGAAACATATGGTTCTCAGAACGTTATGTGCTAGCTGGGTATCCTGCATCATTCCCAGAAAGTCGTGGGAAGGTTGTATGCAGAATAAC